GCTACAACGTTATAACAGCTTTCTTTGAAAACATAAAATCACTAAACCTATGACCCGTTTATGGTTATGATAACATTTAGTTTGAGTGGAATGCACACTACATTGTAGCCACCTCGCTGCTTCATTCAATGTATTATACACACATATTATTCATAACAACAACAACAACAACCAAATTGCACAGCAAACCTACCTTAAAAAAATGTTGCATGTATTTGAAATGTTTTATAGTTTATAGTTCCATAAACAACATTCGACATCATCAGCAGCAGCAACAACAACAACAACAACATCAAACACACATTGTGTTTGATGCGAATGTCACGTACAAACCCCTCTTACAAACAATACTACCGCTACTAAAAAACCAAAAAGAAGACTCAGCTCGTGCCATAAAGTAGCTTAAAATAGGTGTGCCGACACTGCCGCATTGAGTTTATGATACACTAATCCCAATTCATGTAACTTTTTGTGTGTGTGTGTGTTTTTTTTCTATTTTTTTCAAAAGTCAACTTTAAAGGAGTGCCACAAAAAGCTAAGTGACACATTCTGTTATGTTCTGACCATAGAAAATCCATGCATAATGGTCATCATCCCATATCGACAGGGATGGTCATCCCCTATTCTCTGTTGTTTTTTATGTTTTTGTTCTTTTAGTTGTTGTTTTTGCTGTTTTGTTGTTGTTTTATAACAAGGTAACTACCAAATAGCCTGGCTTGACCTGCGGCCCATTCAAACTAATGTTATGTCAAATGTGCAGTTAGTTAGCTAACCTGAAAACATATGCCAATAAAATAAATGCTTTTAAAGACAACTACAACAAAAAATGTTAAGACCTCTTCAAACAACAACAATAAAAATAAATTTTAGTTTTAAGGGTTTTCGCATAGGTTGGAAAAATTAGGTTAAAGGATAATGATCCAGGAACTTTATTTTTGCAATTAATGGCGCCCAATATGGGCTAGAGTTGTGTAGTCATATGTTGAGGAAAAAATATATTTTAATTGTCTTAAAAATACGAATAGTGAAATGAAATTCTTTTAAAAGAAGTCCAATTGCAAATGGCGCCCAACGTGGGGCCATAAATATAGATTATTTTTTTTCTTTTTTTGTTTTAATTTTTTTAAATCTCTAAAATTACACATAGGTCCATGTATTTTTACAGTTTCCTATAATAAAAACTCCAGTTCCATTTTCCGAATTTTAAAATGTTTTGCATTCCGGAATCTAAGAGTGTAAACAACATCTTTGAAACCAAATTTAGACCTATGTCTAGATTAGGTCTATATTTTGACATAACCCTCATATAAGAATCCCGCCCATCTCCACCGAAGTGGCTTACAAGATTCCTGGCGAATATAAAACTAAGAAGCGGAAGGGCAAAATATACCCAAAGAAGTTGGTTTTACAAAAAAAAGATTATCCTCCTTCACGCTGATAGATCATTTTATGAAAAATACTACCAAATTCGATTGGAAGGTTTTCCAAACCTTTAAAGTACCGAATATTGAAAAGTAGCATTATATAGATTCTGTACAAAACCCGAGCAATGGTTCATTCTTTTACACACTTCAAACAAAAAACAAACAAAAATTAAATCAACAAAAAAAAATTTTGGTAAATTTTCAAATGGCGCCCAACGTGGGTCACTACAATTTATACTGGGATTTCTATCGGATATGACATAAAAAAGTCGACATTAAGGAGGCAATCCACTTAGCAACCCAAAAATCAAATAAAATCTAATTGTTTAATGGATTTTGCAACATTTTCAAATGGCGCCCAACGAGTGACAAAGTGACAAAATATTCCAATTGCAGAACCTTTTGTTGCTATTGTTAAAAATTTTCTAATTCTTTTGGAAACAATTTTATCTAGACCATTTAAAACTTGAAAGCGGAAAATTCATAAGAGAACGACTTTGCTCAAACATGGACCAATATAAGGTTCGACCCCAAATGGCGCCCAACGTGGTTCAATAAATATTTAACATCTTGTTCGTAAGTCCTTCTAGGTTCTTCAAATCAAAAATATAAAATTACAAACAAAATTGTAATATGTCGTAATGGCGCCCAACGTGAGGCAATCACAGATATGATTATTTTTCATTGGTAGTAGAGGAGCGAAATGTTTTTAGGGTTAAATTTCGCTCCCCTGTAACAAAAAAAAAAAAAGTTTTGGCAAAAAGTTTTTCTCTTCCCAAAGAAACCCAAGTATCGAATTTCTGGCAATCACTTGGAAAATCTAAGTCAATATTATAATGGCGCCCAAAATCTCTAAATATAAAAAATATAAGACAAATGATTATAATGTCCCAATGGCGCCCAACGTGAGGTAATAGATTTTTCTTTTAAATTAGAAAGTGTCGTTATAGGAACAAAATATATTAAACATATTTTTAAAAAAGGTCTATCTACTCTCTGAGAAATCCAAATATCAAATTTCTGACAATCGCTCAGGAAATCTGCCTTAATATATAATAATGGCGCCGAAAGTAGGATAGAAAAATTATTTAAGTTTTTTTAAGCTGATGTCTATTATCTTATTCCCGAAGATGCTGATCATGGGGTTTTTCTGCGCTCATTAAATAAAAAATACAAAAATTACAGATAAGGCAATAAAAAAGTCTCAGTGGCGCCCAACGTGATGCAATAATTTTTTTTTTTTTTGGATTGCAAGACGAGGCCCAAATTGTCCTTATAAGGAGGACTTTAGCAAAATATATTGTTCCAATAAGGTATTCCGACTTTTAAAATATGTTCTGCCGAAGAATGTTTATCTGAGAAGCTCAAATACCCAACTTTCGCTTGATTGAATAACATAATGGCGCCCAAAGTGGGATAGAAAAAAAATGTCATTCTCTACGGCGTATATACTATTTTATCCAGAAATTGTTGTTAATCGGTTCCTTTTGTTTGCTCTATAAAATAAAAAAATTACAAGCAAAGTGATTAAAATATCCTAATGGCGCCCAACGTGAGGAAATAGAATTTTTTATTTATTAATTTGAAAGATTTTTAAGACTAGTGCATATCCTTTAATATCCACCATGTGATAAAATATTCTGTCAATTAATTGAAAACCCTGATCGAATATACAAATGGCGCCCAATGTGATTGAAACAATTTTTTAAAATATAAAGGTATTCTTCTATCCTCTGAAAGTCGGATATGATAAGTTGCAGTCGATTTGATCCAAAATAAAATCAAGTTGGTTGGAGAAAATGAATCTAAACTTTTCAAATGCCAAAAACCGGAATATAGCTTTATAAAAGGTCTATAAAAACACGTGGACCTGGCTATTGTGTTGGGCATAGGTCCAGATTTTTTTTTTTTTTTTTTGCATAAAAAATTATTCTTCTCGTACAAAATTCCAAATAACAAAATTATAATCGATTTATTATGAAGTGGTAGAATTTTTTCTAGATGGCGCCCAACGTGGGGCCATGTTTTTAGTCATTTTTGAATTAGTTTCTCCAATTGCGGAGAAGGAAAAAATATTCAATAATTCAATTGTTTGCCATAAAGTTTTATTCTCCTCACATAAAATTCCAAATAACAAAATTAAAATCGTTTTTAAAAATGCCGTGCTAGCATTGTTTTTTAGTTGGCGCCCAACATGGTGCAGTATTTTAAGGATTTTTTTCAATTAGTGTCACCGTCAGATGAGGTTCGAAAAATAATCAATATTTTATTTTGTAACAATTTGCTAGCTATTTGAAATTAAAAATACATGTCTAAGTTCTTCAAAATTCCGTAAATCGGGGTACCGGGTTAAAATACAAAGAACCTGGACCCTAGACTGAAGATTTTTTGCAGGAAACGTTTCCATTAACATAGTGTACCTGGTGCCAAATTTTAAACAAATTATTTAAAAATATTGCACTAGATTTTGAAATGGCGCCCAATGTGGGGCAATTAGCATTAAAAGTTGTATATGGAGGATTTTGAATAGTGGGCTTGGCTTTACATTGGGAACGTCACTAAAGAATATTATGAAGATCCTAGGTCAAAGCCAAACTCACTGTCCAAAATCCTCTATAAACAATTTTTAATATTCAATGCCCAACGTTGGGCGCCATTTCAAAATCTAGCGCAATATTTGATAATAAAGCGCAACAATTTCAATTAATTTGTTAAAATGTGAATCTAGGAATTCCACATGAATAGAAAAAACTTCAGGCAAGAAATTGCCAGCATAGCTTCAGGTTCATTGTATTAGATTCTAGATAATAGTACTTTCAGATTTTCGATACTTTGGACTCTGTGAGTTTCTTAGAAAAATCAGATATAGAAAATCTATCATATATATACCAAATTCCTGACAATTCATGCGCAAAAGGTCCTCAAATCTTCAATAGAAAATTTTACTGAGGACCTTCTTCTCTTCAAAATTTCCCTCAAATATACCTCCTACTGTGTTTTATTCTTCTTGTCGTCATTTATAACATTTTTTTTGGCAAAAATTCTCCCCGAAAAATTAGGTTACAGAAATTAATGATGTATGACATTTTATTTTGGCAAATAATATGGATAAAGGATTTGAGCGAGATGGATAACAGTTATCCTTTGTTATAAATAATTAATTTCAAAGGAGTTTTAGAATTTATTTTTTTATTTTTTACTGTATTACAGCAACACTATTTGCTTGGGCTACTTTAAAATGAACATAAGCTAATAAATTATTTAAAATGAGACACACACATACACAGAGACATTATAAAGGATATAAGAGTGTAAGTGTGTGTATATCTCCATTAAAAAATCCTCTGCTAAAAACTTCATTGCCTTACTTTAAGGATTAAAGGCATTTTTTTCTTGAAACTCTACCCAACCATTTATCAATTTTTTCCTTCTTCTCCTTCTTGAAAGCAATCCTTGTCTACTCCACCTCCTTCATTGACTTGCTCTTCGTCCTCCATTTTTTTACTGCCTATTTTATGTAGCAATGTATTTCATTTTGTTTCTCTTCTCTCCTTCCTTCTCATCATTTATTTACAGCAACAATCCCGAAATGTGGCGGCTGCCATGAACTGATATTGGATCGATTCGTTTTAAAGGTGCTAGACCGAACGTGGCATGCCAAGTGTTTGCAGTGCAGCGAATGTCATGCCCAGCTGAATGATAAATGTTTCGCCCGCAATGGCCAGCTGTTTTGCAAGGAGGATTTTTTTAAGTAAGTAAATTTCGGTAGATGGTTCGCAAAACGAAAGTATCCCAATAGGAAGGTCTAAGGAAGCCCCTTTTGGTATTCTGATAAGAAAAAATATTGGTAGTCGGATAAGAAAACCTCATAGAATTTCTGTTCTCCAATAAGAAGTATTGTTGCTGTATCTATAAGAACATTTATTGGTCCCCCAATAAGAACTCTTATTGATTCTCCAATAGGAATACTTTTTGATTCCCCAATAAGAACACCTATTGGTTCTCCAATAAGAAGACTTATTGATCTCCAACAAGTCTACTCATTGGTTTTCTAATAAGTAGACTTATTGGTCCTCCAATAAGTAGACTTATTGGTCCTCCAATAAGTAGACTTATTGGTCCTCCAATAAGTAGACTTATTGGTCCTCCAATAAGTAGACTTATTGGTCCTCCAATAAGTAGACTTATTGGTCCTCCAATAAGTAGACTTATTGGTCCTCCAATAAGTAGACTTATTGGTCCTCCAATAAGTAAACTTATTGGTCCACCAATAAGTATACTTATTGGTCCTGTAATAAGAAGACTTATTGGATAACCAATAATTCTGATTATTGGACCTCCAATAATAAGACTTTTTGGTTCTCCAATAAGAACACTTATTGGTTTTCCAATAAGAAAAATTATTGGTTCACCAATAAGAATACTTATTGGTCATCCAATAAAAAGTTTTACCAAACCTCCAATAAGTGGACTTATGGTCCTCCAATAAGTGGGCTTATTATTGGTCCTCCAATAAATAAACTTATTGGTCCTTCAACATGTAGTCTTATTCGTAAGTAGACTTATTGGTCCTCCAGTAAGTAGACTTATTGGTCATCCATTAAGTAGACTTATCAGTCTTCCAATAAGAATAGACTTATTGGTCGCCCAATCCAATAAGAACACTTATTGGCCTTCCAATAAGAGCATTATTGGCCTTCCAATAAGTACACTTATTAGTCATCAATAAGAAGACTTATTTGTTCTCCATTAAGAAGACTTATTGGTTCCCCAATAAGAACACTTATTGGCTCTCCAATAAGATGACTCATTGGTCTACCAATAAGAAGACTTATTGCTTCTCCAATAAGAACACTCATTGGTCCACCAATAAATGAATTTATTAATCCTCCAATAAGTAGAGGTGCTGATCTTCCAAAACCAGGGCATATTGGTCCTTCGAGAAGACTTATTGCCATTCTAATAAGAATGTATCTTCCATTTCTTAGTACTCATTTTTAAACATCCATCTTTGTTAAAAGTAATTTAATTAATAATAACCACCCTTTGTCCTTTCCCAATGTTTGGGTCTTCTAATAGGCGTTACGGAACGAAATGTTCCGCTTGTGATATGGGTATACCGCCGACGCAAGTTGTGCGCCGCGCACAAGACAATGTCTATCACCTGCAGTGTTTCCTATGTACGATCTGTTCGCGTACCCTAAATACCGGCGATGAATTCTACCTCATGGAAGATCGTAAGCTAGTGTGTAAACGGGACTATGAAGAGGCTAAGGCGAAAGGTAGGTGAACGAAAATTCATCTTTTGGCAATATAAATAAAAAATTGGAAATCTTTATCTCTCCAGGTTTATATTTGGATGGCTCGCTGGATGGTGACCAACCGAATAAACGACCACGCACCACAATAACCGCCAAACAATTGGAAACACTGAAAACCGCCTACAATAATAGTCCGAAACCTGCGCGACATGTGCGAGAACAATTGTCACAGGATACGGGGTTGGATATGAGAGTTGTACAAGTCTGGTTTCAAAATCGGTAAGTAGATGAAGCGGATATTTCTACGAATTTGAAAAAAAAATATTCTATGGAGGAAATTTCCACCATTCCCCCTTTTATTACTCACTTCCATTCATTGTATCGTTCCGCACAATGAATTTTATAAAGTGTCCGATAGATAACATTGTCTCATGCAAAACGAAGCAGAATTCAATGGTCACTTAGTTATCGAAGTGTTTGCTAATCTTATCGAGGAGGCTAGTCGGTGAAGCAGGAACGTAGCTAAAATTGGAACAAAACGGGCACAGTGAAAGAAATATTAAAAAAATATTCAAATGATAACAAATTTATGGAGGTTTGGAATTATGAGCCCAAACGACCATAACTCCCCACCGGACATTTTTTCTTCAGCCTATATTAACCAAATAATATCCCCAACATCGTTATTACATAAAATTTTTGAGTTATTCCTTAAAAAACCCGGTTCCATTCCAATCGTTCCACTTTATTTCAACATGTTCCAATTTATAAATCGCCATTACATTGTAAATCTATTAATTAGAACCTTTTTCAATCCAGTTTTTACTAATCGAAATACAGTGTTCCATTCCATTTCGTTCCAACTCCACTAATTCTTCATTGGCAATATATTTTCTAGATTCAATAACCTAAAAATACACCCCATATTATTTTTAAATTAAAATATTTGTAATTAGGCAAAAATCCTCTGTTCCATTCCAATCGTATCACTTTATTCCACCATGTTCCAAATCACAAGATGCCATTACATTCTAAATCTAGTAATTAAAAATAGTTTCCAATACATTTTGTACTAATCGAAATGTTGTGTTTCATTCCATATCGTTTCAACGCCCCTAATATCTCATTGGCAACATTTTTGCATAAAATAATAAGGAGGCAGGACCCCTTAAATAATTTTTAAATTAAAAACATTTGTGATTCCTCGAAAACCAATGTTCCATTCCAATCGTTCCACTTTTTTACCAACATGTTCCAAGTCACAATACTATATTACATTCAATATATTATCATTTAATCATTTCCCAACCCATTCTGTAGTAAAAAAATACAGTGTTTCATTCCATTTCGTCCCACCGCTCTTAAATCATCATTCCGTTTTAATTTATTTCAAAATGTTCCATATTACCAAACTCTATTACATTCACTATCTCTTCATTTAAACCTCTACCCACCCATTAAATAAAGTGTTTCATTCCATTTCGTTCCAACGCTCCCAATTCCTCATGGACAAATTGTTTGTAAGCCATAATAACCAGGCAGTGCCCTCTACATTGTTTGCAAATGAAAATTGTGTGTTATTCCTCAAAATCCCCTGTTCCATTCCAATCGTTTCACATTATTCAAATATGTTTCAAATAAACACACACCCATTTCAGTCAGTATCTCATCACTTATATGTTTCCTACTCCAATTCGGGCTAATCCTGAAACAGTGTTTCATTCCATTTCGTTCCAACGACCCATTCATTCCCAATTTCAATCGGGTCCTTTTTAATATCTCATCCTTTATACGTTTTCCACTTCATTTTGTGTGAAATCCAGAAACAGTGTTCCATTCCACTTCGTTCCAACGTCGTTTAAGCAGCAATTTGTATTACATAACAAAAGTAGATAAACCTTCAATTTGTTTCCAAATAATGCTTTTTCTTATTTTTTATGCATATACCTTAATGTTCCATTCCATATCATTCCGTTTCAATGACTCGTAGTCCTGTTTACAAATCGTGTTATTCATTATTTTAAACAACTTGAAGTTTCGTTAATAAAACTATATAGAAAGTCTGTTCCGATCCCACAAATTTTAATTTAAAGTGTGTTTCAATTCCATTTTGTTCCCGTGCAAAAAATTAAATTTTCTTTATCATTCATACCTACGAATCATACTAATTTCATTATTTTCGAATTTAATATGTTTCAATTCCATTTTGTTCCGATTCCAGTTTGTTTCAATTCCATATTGTTCCAATTCCACTTTTTTCCGTTTGAGGTCAAATATATTCCATTTGAGGTCCAAAATATATCCCATTTTGAAGTAATTTCCAACTATAGTTCCAATTCCATATCGTTCCATTCCTAATTTTCTACAAAACACTAACTTCTGTTTTTGTTTTTCTCTTTTTTCTTCATCTTCTTCTCCCTTAACAGAAGAGCGAAAGAGAAACGCCTGAAAAAGGATGCTGGCCGCACCCGCTGGAGTCAATATTTCCGCTCGATGAAGGGTAACTGTTCGCCCCGAACGGAGAAATTCCTAGATAAAGATGATCTTAAAGTCGATTATGATAGTTTCAGTCATCATGGTGAGTTCGACGACAACAACAATTACAAAATTTCCGAACCTGGACTAAATTGATTTTCCTCTTACAGACCTCAGCAATGACAGCTACAGCACCGTCAATTTGGGTTTGGATGAGGGAGCATCACCGCATTCGCTGCGCGGCTCATATCTGCACGGTAGTTCAAGTCCTTCACAGTATCCATCTAGTCGTTCGCCGCCACCGGTGGGGCAAAATCATTCGTTTGGTTCATATCCCGACAATATTGTCTATACGAATATAGGTAAGGTTCTCAGGATGATTTTGAAAATCCCTCTCTTAAATGTTCAATTTCTTTCCCTTGCAGATCACAATTCCGCATCGAATCTACATGGCTCTAAATCACAATCCCGCCTACATGCTGGCAGTGCAGTATCGGACCTCAGCAACGATTCTAGTCCTGAACAAGGTTTCCCCGATTTCCCACCCAGCCCTGACTCGTGGCTCGGTGATACGGGGAACCCCACGGCGAATACAAATTCAAATCCGAATTCAGTTACCCCCGGCGGAGGTGTACATTACTGATACTCAAACATACTCTTTAGATATTTTCAAATGCAATCGCGTAATTTAATGATGGCCTCATCGGGAAGTAATCCGCCTCCAGCGCCGCCTAATGGATTCAATGGTCACGAAATGGATGTGGCATTGGAGGAAGGAGAGGCGTTAGCGCCGCCTCCTGCTGTAACCACAATTGCTGAGCAAAAATCATAACATTTTGAAGATACTAAAGATGGGATGAAGTGATTAATGAATCGCTTCGATTGGATAATTCGTTGCAGTTTGTTTTAATTTAATTCTCCCTCTCTCTCTTTCTATCCCTCTATATCCACCTATCTCTCTATCATTTTCTCTCTAAGATGAAATTGTTATTATTATTTTTTTAAGGAAGTCATACTTTAAGAAGACACATAACAAAATTATTCACCCTACACCATAAGAGACTTTGCTCAAATGTTTGTTAAAACCCCAGCTAATGGAAACTGGATACCTTGAAGGGGAGAGGGGAAGGGGAAAGACGGGAATTTTTGGTGAAAAACAAACACATTAAAAATGATACCCTTATAGGTAAACCGAATCAAGGGAATTTCCCCATAAAAAAATTGTAGGAAAATTTCCCAAAAAAGTGGGGAAAATTTTCTCCCAACATTTTCTCTTCAGGGAAAAATTTTCCCTTAAAAATAATAGCTCCCTATTTTTCTTTCCCGAAAAAAAATTTTATAAGTATATTTTAAAAAAATCAGGGCTCACATCAATAAATGCACGGGCAATTTTTCCCTTAAAAAATGTTCAGGGAATAAATATCCCCGACAATTTACCCCAGGGAAATTTTTCCCGAGAAAGAAATTAGTAACAGAAAAAAGCAAAAATGAAGGCTATAATTAAATTAAAACTTTCCCTAAAAAATGGGAACATTTTCCCCCATAATTTTCCCCAGGGAAATTTTTCCCAAAAGAATACATAGGGGAATTTTCCAGAATACAAAAAAATTTAGAAAATGTATTCTAAAAAATCAGGGCTTAAATTAATAAAACAATGATGAATTCTCCCTTAAAAATGTTCAGGTGAATTTTTTCCCCACAATTTTTATTCGCCAGGGAAATTTTTCCCAACGGAAGAATTTTTTAAAATTTTTCCAAAAAAAAATTCAAAAATGTATTTAAAAAAAGATAAAATTAATAAGGAAATGTTTTCAATTTTTTTTTTCTTTAAATTACCATAAAATAATTTGAATATTTGGAAATTTTTTTCTGGAACACAATTTCGGGGAAGTTTTCCCTCAATACCAAAGATTAGGGGAAAATCTCCCAAAAAATAGAAAAAAATTTCCCGAAGAAATTTTTAAATTAAAATTTAAAATTTCCCCGTATTTGCATTACAAAATAAATGACATTCCGCTGGAACACCTTAAAATATTCTAGGGAGGTCCTATGCCGATTTAGCCAGGTCCATCTGTTTCCCTTTTTATCGAAATCACAATGGAAGAGCCCGCAATATTTAAACTAGAGCTTGGAAATTTTGCTACTACTCATAGGGTGTTTCATATTGAAAGTGGGAAAAATCGGCCCAGGCTTTGGTATAGCCTCCGTATAAGGTTACGCCCGATTTTCGGTATTTTGGGGAGTTTGAATACGTTTTTCAATAGTATTGACAGTATTTTGGGTTCTTATTGGGTAGTAATTCTTGCTACGAAAATGTATTAATATTGGTCCACTTTTTAGGGTAACCCCCATTTAACGATACCTTCCGATTTTCTGTATTTTGGGGATATTGAGCACATCTTTTAACCAAATTGGATGTATTTTGCTGTTTTGGGTCCCCATTGAGTAGTAAATCTTCCTACCTTAAACTATCAACATTGGCCCATTTATTAGGGTAGCGCCCATATATGGGTACCTCCAAAATATCGGAATTTTGGGGAGATTGGACACATCTTGTAACCAACTTGGATCTAATTTGCTGTTTTGGGTCCCCATTGAATAGTAAATCTTCCTACCGAAAATTATCAATATCGGCCTATTTTTAGGTATAGCTCCCATATGGGGGTACTTCCGAATTTTCGGTATTTTGGGGAATTTTGAGTACGTTTTTCAACCCAATTCGCTGTAATTTGATATTTTGGGTTCTCATTGTGTAACACATCTTCCGACCAAAAGTTATAAATATTGGTCTACTTTTTAATATAGCCTCCATATAAGGGTACCCCCGGATTTCGATATAATGGGGTGTTTGGGCACGTTTATCAAACGAATTGGCTGATATTTAATATTTTGGTTCTTAAGTGTGTAGAAAATCCTCACAACAAAAAATATCCATATGGGTCTACTTTTAAGGGTAGCCCTCATATAAGGGTACATCCGAATAAGCTATATGGGAAATTTTGAGTTCGTTTTTCAACCAAATTGGCTGTAATTTGATATTTTGGGTTCTCATTCGGCAGCAAATCTGCCTAGCAAAAATGATCAATATTGGTCTACTTTTAGGTAGAGCCTCCATTTAAGGGTACCCTCCGATTTTCGATATAATGGGGTGTTTGGGCACGTTTATCAACCGAATGGACTGTAATTTGGTATTTTAGGTTCTCACCGGGTAACATATCTCCCTACCACAAATTATCAATATTGGTCTAATATTCAGGGTAGCCCCTATATAAGGGTACCTCCCACATTTCGGTATTTTGAGGATGCTCGACCAGGGTTTTCAACCAAATTGATTGTAATTTGGTATTTTGGGTTCTCATTGGTAACACATCTTCCTACCAAAAATTATCGATATTGGTATACTTTTAGATAGAGCCTCCATATAAGGGTACCCTCCGATTTTCGATATAATGGGGTGTTTGGGCACGTTTATCAAGCGAATTGTCTGATATTTTGTATTTTAGATCTTAAGTGTGTAGAAAATCTCCACACCAAAAATTATCTATATTGGTCCACTTATTATGGTAGCCTCCATATAAGGGTACCTACCGATTTTCAATATTTTGGGGAGTTTGGGCACATTTATCAAGCGAATTGGCTGTAATTTGGTATTTTGAGTTCTCATTGGCTGTCAAATTGTCGTAGCAAACATTATCTAGATTGGTCCATCTTTAAGGGTAGTCCCCAAACATAGGTACCTCCCAAAGTTCGATATTTTGGAGAGTTTAGGTATGTGTTTCAAGCTAATTTACCGTAATTTTGTATTTTGGTTTCTTATTGGGTAGCATATATTCCTATCAAAAATTATAAATATTGGTCCAACTTTCAAGTTAGTCCCCATATAAGCGTACCTTCCGATTTTCGATATTTTGGTTAGTTTGAGCTCATTTTACAGTCAAATCGGCTATAATTTGGTATTTTGAGTTGTCATAGGCTGTCAAATCTACCTACCAAAAATTATCAATAATGGCCCATCTTTAAGGGTAGTCCCCATATAAGGGTATCCTCCAATTTTCTATATTATGGGGAGTTTGAGCACGTTTATTAAACGAATTGGCTGATATTTAGTATTTTACGTTCTCATCGAGTAGCATATCCTCGTACAAACAATTATGAATATTAGTCCAACTTTCAAGGTAGTCCTCATGTAAGCGTACCTTCCGATTTTCGATATTTTGGTTAGTTTGAGCTCATTTCACAGTCAAATCGGCTACAATTTCGTATTTTGTGTTGTCATAGGCTGTCAAATATTCCTACCAAAAATTATCAATAATGGCCCACCTTTAAGGGTAGTCCCCATATAAGGGTATCCTCCAATTTTCTATGTTATGGGGAGTTTGGGCACGTTTATTAACCGAATTGGCTGATATTTTCTATTTTAGGTTCTCACCGAGTAGCATATCTCCGTACAAAAAATTATGAATGTTAGTCCAACTTTCATGGTAGTCCTCATGTAAGCGTACCTTCCGATTTTCGATATTTTGGTTAGTTTGAGCTCATTTCACAAGCAAATCGGCTACAATTTCGTATTTTTTGTTGTCATAGGCTGTCAAATATTCCTACCAAAAATGAACAATAATGGCTCATATTTAAGGGTAGTCCCCATACAAGGGTACCTCCCAAATTTCGATATTTTGGGGAGATTTGGTTACGTTTTGTCACCGAATTGGTTGTAATTTGGTATTTTATATTCTCATTGGGTTAGAAATCTTCCTACCAAAAATTATCAATATGAGTCCTCTTATTACGGTAGTCTTAATGTAAGCGTACCTTCCGATTTGCGATTTTTTGCTTAGTTTGAGCCCATTTTACAATCAAATCGCCTATAATTTGATATTTTGAGTTGTCATAGGCTGTAAAAGCTTCCTACCAAAAATCATCAATAATGGCCCATTTTTAAGGGTAGTCCCCATATAAAGATACCTCCCAAAGTTCGATATTTTGAAGAAAATTGTTACCTTTTTATCACCGAATCGGCTGCAATTCGGTAGTTTTGGTTTTCATTGGGTTAGAAATCTTCCTACCAAAAATTATCTATTTGAGTCCACTTATTACGGTAGTTCCCATATAACGGTACCTACCGATTTTCTATATATTTGTTAGTTTGAGCTCATTTTACAACCAAATTGGCTGTAATTTAATATCTAAGGTTCTCACTGGGTAGAAAATCTTTCTGCCAAAAATTATGAATATTGGATCATATATTAGGGTAGTCTACATATAAGGGTACCTACAGATTTTCGATATTTTGGTTAGTTTCAGCTCATTTTGCAACCAAATTGGGTGTAATTTAATATTTTAGGTTCTTGATGGGAACCACATCTTCCTACCAAAAGTTATCAATATTGGACCATATATTAGGGTAGTTCCCATATAAGGGTATCTGCCGATTTTCGATATTTTGAAGATTTTAGCCGAATTCAACGAAGTGGCTGTAATTTGGCATAGAGAATTCCTCGTGAATAAAAAACGTGGTTCCTGAAAGATTTCAATTTTCAAAAAAAATTAAAAAAAAATAATTTATTCTAGAAAAAAAAATTTCAAAAAAAGAGAAAAAATCTGAAAATTTTTTATTCCCTTTAAATAAAATTGCAGCGTGGTACATATTTTTCCACTATAGAAGATTGTTTCTGAGGCAAGCAATAATTTTCCATCCT